TCTGGTCTCCTGACTTCCTACAAATTTTTTCTTCTCTGAAATATCTGATCCATTTATTTCCTAATGATGAGAAGGACAGTGGGCAAGGGCCAGGAAGTCCATCTTTGAGCTGAAGTCTGCAGCTGCTTGAGCCTTTCTGTTCTCCCAGGAAAGGACAGTAAATATTTTGCATCTCCAACTCCTGTCCCACCCAAGACTCACTCTGATTATATCAAGTATTTAGACAGCCAGGGAAATAGCATCTGGAATATTGTGGTTGAGTCATGAAAGGAAGTCATGGAAGGAAATCCTTAGAACCAGGACCAAACCATCAAAAAAAAATCTGATACAACTGCTGGGGGTGCCAGTCTCCTGGACTACAGTGAGAATGTGCTTCCAGAGTTAGGCAATGAGGCTGTCCTGCCAAGAGCGTGTCTCCTTATGACACTGTACTTTCTGTAAACCTGTATTCTGTGGGACTACCCCAACCCTTTTGTTCATAATTGTTGTATTTTATTCCCTAGCAACAAGTCTGATGGCTATGGTACCAGGTGGGCCTGCAGGTGCAGGGCAGGAGGACCAAGGCTGGAGGATTCCATCCAGCATGTCTCTAAGCATGTCTCATATATCTCATTTATTCTTCACTGTCCTTCATTTTAGATCTGATGAAATGCAAGCACAGGGAAATTAAATAACTGGCATAAGCTCACCTAGCTAATAAGAGGAGACTACATTGAAAACCAAGTTACACTTCTGAACCCTTGCCCTCCACTGCTCTAAATCAGGAACTCAAAGTTCAAGACTTCTCATCCATCCTCCCAATGAAGGAGGGAGGGAAAGAGGCCCGGATAACTCTCCTCTTCCACAGGTGAGTAGGCTGAGACCTAAAGGGAAGGAAGAGGTCTCAGCCAGACCCACTTGAGGTGTTCTCAGCTGCTAAGAAGGGAGCCCCTTCTACCTGTACTTAGCCCCATAACCTGTCTCTAGGCCCATACACCTATCAGGGATCAAACAAGATATGAGTGTGAGAAGTGAGAGTGTGTGCACATCCCACAGGGTCAAGACGTGCCCGGGAATAGATTAGGGACTATAGAAAGGGGAATGAACATGTCCCTTTTCATAATGGTAATTAGTACCATAGCGCACATTTATTTATCAGGGACAGTTCCAAGCATTTACACATATTAATTTATTTAATCCCAACATCAACCCTACGAAGTAGGTACTACTATGATCCCCATTTTGTAGATAATGAAACTGGGCACAGAGAACTAGGCAACCTGCCCGAGGCCACAGGCTGTGAGAGGCAGGGCTGGAAGGATATGGACCCAGGACATCTCCCCAACTCCGTGGCCTTCCTCTCAGGCTCATCTGGATCTCCTTTATCTCAGTCATCTGGAGGTGCCCCCAGCCTCCCCGTCTACACCCTTTTCTACTCCCCATCGCACCAACTCCCTTCCAGCAGCCCCGTGGTATTGGTGCAAGCAATGTTCATAACAAAGCAACCCACATTAAAAGTAAGAAGAACTTCAGGGTTTTTTAAATCTCTTTTTTTTTGTCTCTCTTGTTCAGGAGATCAAAGGGCCTCACGTTGGGAGAACAAACGCTGAAGAAAAAGGCAAATGAAAGAGGAAAAGTTCACACTTGGGGCTGAGAAACAGATGGTGCAGAGGGTTGAGTGGAGTGGAGGCTTAACTGCCCCCCTCAGATGGTGGGGGAGGGGCTGGGAGATGCTCCTCAGAAACCTTGACAAACTTTCAACCAGCCCTGAGAAGAATTCTCCCTCCCATGAATAATCAAGAAAAAAAAATCTCTCAAAACAGGAGATTTTTTTGAGATCTGGTAATTGGAGGTGTGGGAGCGGGGGGCTTTCAAATTTTGCTGAAAATGCACTTTCAGATCTCCTGGTAAATATAATCCCCCCCACTCCCTCAAGGGCTGTGAAAAACCCACCTATCTGAAACGCATGGAGGAGTCTATGACTGAAGCAGTTTGGCATCTATTCTGGAAAGTTTAACAATATAGGCTGCCAACTTAATTCAATTGCAGCAAAATGTGTTTTTGTTTGTTTTACCATCCTCTCCTTTGCCCTTCATGATAGGAAAATACACAGTGATCTTTTCTTTCTCCAAATAAATGCCTTCTGTGTAGACCAGTCTGGGGCCTCAAATTCCAAGTACGGTTTTAGGAAAGCGCCAAGCAGGAAAGGGATCAAGATTTTTGCATCTAAGGAGATGGGAGGCTCAGATTTATTGTGGATTATTTAGAGCCCGCCCCTCTGTTAACAGAGAATTGATTTGTACCCGCCCCTCCCTGGGGGAATCTGATGGTTCCTTCTACTTATGACCAAAAATCAAATGGGCCAGCTTCCCCCAGGACCTGTCAGCCCCAGTGTGAGGCCCAGTTCCATCATCCTTATGCTCCTGCTCTAACCACTGCTCCTTCCTCCTCCCCCACTTTCCTACCCATTGGTCCAAAGGTTGCAGGACCCGGGAATACTCCAACCAGAAGGCTCTACCAGCTTACACTGAATGGCCCCAAGCAAGGGAAATCTTGTTCACAGACACTTGCTCTGTCCCCTCTCTCAGCGTGACCCCTTTGGGGAAGCCAATCTTGGTGGCAATTTCTATTAAACGCAGAAAAGCAGTTATTAGATTTTTTGAAGACAGAGGGCAAGACAGCAGCCTCTGGCAAAGCTAGGCTTCCTCTTGCAACCCACTTCTCTTCTTCTCCGGCTGGGCCGTGCAATTATTGATAATGGTGCCTCTCCTTAAAACGGTACCGATTTCATTAGGAAGTAAATGCTCAGCGTTTCTTACATACACTCCTGGTCCTTTTCACCGCCTCTCTTCCTTTGAAAGGTGCAGAATTAAATAGATGAGGAGGTGGATAAATGCTCCTTGGTCCCGCTGACCCCCCCCCGGGGGGGGGGCTGTCCCGGCCCCGGGGCTTTTGGGCTCCGCGGGTAACTGGAATCAATAACCCGGGCCGGACACCGCAGGCCCGTGTCATCTCGACGGCACTGCGGGGCCAGTGAGCGATGGCGGTTTGGGCCGTCGCAGAGCTTCCTGAGCCCTGGCCCCCCGCCTCCGCGGACCAAAGGTTTGTCAGTGGGACCCGCCCGAGACAATAGGTGCCCCCGCGGGCGCGCTGCTGGCTTGTTTGGAAAGCCCACGGGCACTTCGAGGTAAAAAGGTCAGCGCGCGGGATTCGGATTTACTTCGGCCTCCTCCCCCGCCCCTCCCCGTCCCCCCCCACCAAGGTCCTCC